CCCCCCCTTTTTCTCGGTGCGGACTTACTTTTTTCCGCTTGGGAAGCGCAAGTGTGCGCGAGTTTTTCTACGGCGCTTTTCTTTCGTCGGTGAGTTGGTTTTTCTTCTATTTTTAAGTTACTAAGGTGAATGGTGAGGAAACCTTCATCTTAACTAAACATAAGCCCCAAACAAAATATAATGAAAGCAAAATAAAAGTAAAATAAAAATAAAGCTCAGACTTGGTTCCTTACAATTTTAGAATATTTATTCTAGAAAAAAAGATTGGTCTGGAGCTGGACTTGAACCCACAACTTTTGCTTATTACATAGATATGTTGCTAGGTATGCTACCCAGACCTTCATCCAATTTTTGCTTCCAGACTGATTTAAGATATAAACATATTGGTCACTCTTGGCAATGACTAGAGCACTTACTACAACTATTGAGTTAGTTGTAATTAGCAGATAACTACCAAAAAAATAAAAACCAGCAATTTTTTTTTTTAAATTCAAACATTTTCACCCATGTTGAATGGACATAAGGCAAACGACTGCTGAGATAAATGGGGGATTGCCAAACACATGTGTAGGGGAGAGGATGTACGATGTAAGACAAGAGAACAGGGAGAGGAGAACAGTGAAAATTTATATTTCATAGAAAAACTTCCATACCGTAGGGAAGGAGTCAACATCACAAAAGTTAGTGGCCATGTTACTTGTATATTTCCACTCGCTCCAGATGCTTAAGGTAAGGTTGCTTAGATGTGTTGTGTAATAGGCATGCCCTGTGGAATCCAACTTGGATATCTGGGTCAGAGGTGTAGATAGCCAAAGTGGTGTTGGCCAAACCTTTTTTGAAAGACATATGATGCTCTTTGAGGCAGGTATTTAAAGGTGAGTCATAGCTCCTATGTATTGTAAGTGACAGTTGGACATTATGATTCTCCCTTTAAATATTTGCCTCAAAGAGCATTGTAAGTCTATCAAAAAAGGTTTGGCCAACACCACTTTAGCTATCTGACCCAGACATCCAAGTTGGATTCCCCGAGGCACGTCTATTACATAACACATCTAAGCAAGTTTTCCTTAAGCATCTGGAGCAAGTAGAAATATACAAGACCACCTGCAGTAACACAGCCACTAACTTTCGTGATGTTGACTCCTTCCCCATGGCGAGGAAATCTTTCTATGAAATATAAATTCTCACTGTTCTCCCCTCCCCATTCTCTCGTCTTACATCATACATCCTCTCCCCTACACACATTTGTCAATTCCCTGTTTATCTCAGCAGTTGTTTGCCTGATGATGTCCGTTTTCCTTATGTAACACCCTCTGTATGGGCATCTTGTCATACTGTTAATGTGCCTTTTACTTATATAACAATTTTGTATTTTGTTAAATAAAACACCGATACTGACGCCTATGAAACTTCCACTCTCATCCCCTTCCTATCTCACTTTACTTTTCCCTTTGCCTCTTTTCTTAACTCTTTCCCTCTCAATCCATTTCAAACCAGGCAATACCTATGAGTGGCCCTGGTCTTCATCCCCTTTAAGCTAGAATGATGGTGTCCGTTCAACACGGGCGAAAACGTTTACCTTTTTTAAAAAATTTGCTGGTTTTTGGTAATTGTTTGTTAATTCTAAGTTAACCAGTTGTAAAGTAGCAATTATTGTGTTCGAGTGAATACACTATATAGTTGGTGTTCGAGTTGTAGCAGTTATTGTTTTTGAGTTAGTTGTTTTCATTATAAAAAAAAATACAAAAGAATCTTTAAGATGAAACTTATTTTTTATAGTTACGTGAAAAATGCAAATTTTAATTTTATGTAAAATGTTAAAATATTTTAATTTTAAGTTTATAAAATGATTTCTTGAGGAAATCTCAAATTTGAAAAAAAGCATTTTTGAGATTTTCCTTGGCTATAGGCTTTTGAATTATTTTAAAATATGCAGTATTACATTCAGTGCATTACTTAAATATCATTAATCTGCATTGAGATCAAACAAAATTAGAATTCTCAAGGAATTTGGTGATGTTGCAAACATGAGCCAGTGATGCAAGAAGTATGTTTGGCTTGCAGCTTCTCTAAACTTCTTGTGCTAATTCTAAAAAATTATACTTTTGTTTGCTCACTCAGTTAACTTATAAATCACAAATAAAACTAATGGTATAATGTAACCACTACCTAAAATTAATGTTTATAATGTTGGATGAGTCTAATACCCCGTTCGCACCGAGCATTTCGATCTAGATTGTGACTAAGGTGGGAGAGAGTTCCGTGGTGCAAATGCTCTCGACTGTTTCAATCTCGACTGAAACGAGGTTCTATCACGAGCGACTGGAGAAAGTTCTTGAAACTAGATCCAGTCATAAGAGAGATCCCACAATCCCACGCGCGCGAGAAAATACAAGATGGCTGCGGAACACATGTCGGGCTATCGACAGAGAAATAAAAAAGACAGCTAGAGAGATGACGACATCTGTCTATTATTAGATGTACGGCAAGAAAAAATATTTATTTCTAACCAAAACTTCCATTTTGTTTGTTGGTGTTTGTGACTTACCGCGTAGTTACGTCAGTTTTATGATCGCGTGTAATAGCCAGGTTCTTCTCGAGCGGACTGCCTGTGCGAACAGCATGACGTTCGACTAGCGACAGTCACAATCCAGATTGTGGGTAAATCGAGATCGAAGTGAGTCGTGGATTGTGTGCAAACGTAGTATAAGGGTAAACATCATTGAAAAAAATGCAAATCTAATGATAAAATAAGTTTATTGGTTTCAAATATTATTATGATCAAATCACAGATAATAAAATTGGAGACATTGTAAATTACAAATAAACCAATAAAGTAAAATATAAACATGTATTTGTAGAACATAATATATACAATGTATTGTTTGATTTTAAGTTTCAAATCAAGTAACTTCTATTTTAGTTTAATGTAAAGTTGTACAGTTAGATTATTCCATATAGAATTTCTCACAATATAAAATTTAATATTTAAAGAATTTTTTATTCTGATTCCTGTAAATTTGGGAATTGTGTACTCTTAAACATTTAAGATAGACTATAGAATGACCAATGACACTAGCCTTCCACTCTGAAGTATCTCAGATAAAATCCAGGCAATCAGTCTCCAGATTTTTTGTGGGACCATTCATTGTTGCAGGCCTGGCCAAACACGGCAGGCATGAAAAAAGGCTCTCCTTGTACTCTTAGGATGGAAAGAGACCCTAGAAAATATCCATAACATTTTAATCTTGTATGCATATGAAAGCAGAATAAAAGTTTATTATTAAATGTGAAAAAAATCTGCTCAAAACTGAAAGATTGTAAACATAGAGTTATAGAAAAATGTGCTGGATAGTGTTTGTTTCTCTACAAATTAATGTTTTTTAATCTTTTATAAAATTTAAATTTGATTTTAGTATTTCTAACTATTGATGACTTTTCATCATTTTTACTATAAGTAAAAATAACAAATCAACTAAATATATTTTGAAAGAAAACACATCCAAAACAAACAATTGGCTTTATCATCAAAGAACATTAGCAGTAGTTATCTAAAATTTTGTTTATCACCATTTATTATTTTTAACATCAAGTCCACTAAAGTTATATTATAAATATATTTATAATTTTCATTTACAGGAGACTGTAATTCATATTCGGGAATGTGAAGAAGAAATGAGAAGATTGGTGGCCGAAAGACTTCATGTTGAATCTGTTTTTGAGGTAAATCTTGATGTGAGTTAATATGTTTCTTAACAAATTTTGGAAATGTGTAGTTTTTTCATTTATACTAAACAAAATTTGATTCTTTAAATACAAAATAAAACTTTGAAATTTTTCTCGAAATTATTTAAAATTTTTTTTATAATTTAAAGTATGTTTAGAGGAAATTTTATCAATATTTTGAAGATAAAATGCATAATGTATCTGAAAACACTTTAAAATGTAAGCAAGTTTTAAATAATTTCTGGAAAAATTCTGTTTTATTCAAAGACATTCTTTCTTATTTTTTATAAATACTGTAAAGTGTTGATTATCAGAATTATTTGAGTTCAAAGATTGTTCAGATTTTCAGTTTCTTTGGCTTATCAAAGGGCTTTTTTAGCATTTTATTGCAACAAATTCTATTGTTTGTGTTTGGAAAAGTTCGGTTAGATTGTTTACTTACATCAAGTGTTATAGAGACAGAAATAGTACAATAGAGAAGGTAGTTAGAAAAAAACAACAGTACTGGATTTTTACTTCACTTTTGTCTTCTGTTAAACTAAATAAAAAAATAGTGTTCCTGTGCTAATTCTTTTAGCTAATTCTTACATGTAAAAAATCTGTTTCAAGTAATTTATATTTAGATTATGATAGAAACTAGATGACCTTGAAAAGGTGTTATTTTTAGGCAGAAATCACAAACTTCCATTAACTTTGCATTAACATTGGGAAAGCTAAGAAACAAAGAGCTCTAAAAAATTTTAATCAAAAATTATTACCTGTTGATTATTACACCCAAAAAATTCATGGATGGATCAAGAAATTTTTACAGCTTGGTTTTGTAATGTGTTTGTAGTTCAGGTGAAATTGTATCTTAAATCTAAAATTTACCACAAAAAGTGCTTTTAATTATGGACAATGCCCCAGCATATCCATTGAATGACTTGGAAGATATAAAATAAAAAAGATGATAAGATATAAAATGTGTCTGTCTCCTTTCCAACAAAACCTCTTTCATCAAGGAGAGTGGATCAGGGAGTGGTTGAAAATTTGAAGCATTGCTACCAGAAAATATTTGTTCAATATTTTATTTCTTGTGATATGGGTATAAATTTTGGAAACAATTCTAATACAAAACTATTAAACATACAATTTTCAACATTGCTGCTGGGGTGTGGAATAATGTTCCAAATAAAACATTGTCTTGAAGTTGGAACAGAATTTGGCCATCAGGTGCACTTAACCGAAGTAACAGTGATGAAAACAAACAATTGCTGGATGATGTTTCTCAAATGTGTAATGACAATTTTCAAATAGAACAGGGTGATGTAAATGACTGGCTGAATGTGGATAGCTCAGATTTGATACATGAAACTTTAAACGACAATGAAATCATAGAACAAGTAGTGAACAAAGACATAAATAATGAAGAGGAGGATAAAGATGATGATGACAAAGGTTACATTTCTAATTCTCAACATTTTAATTGCAAAGAAGTTGAGGAGGTTTTATCAAAATGCATCAAATGGTGTGAATGGCAAAATGCATGAATGACAAAATGAAGCAGAAATTCCAAACTTAATTGCATTGTGGCATATGTGCATGCAATTTAGTAATCGTGAAGGAATGTGAAAAAATAGTACATATAAAAAAATACCTCTCTGAAAGCTGAAACAAATTTAGCTTGAACAACATCTTAAATACTTTTTCAGCAAGACTGATTTATTTAAACAAACATTTTTTACTTCTTTTCATAAGTCTGCTTCAGGTTTAACAAGAAGATTCAAACTTTAAGTTCTAACTGACATTCTAACATTTTTTTAAAGTTTTTAATCATTAGAATGAGAAAACTATTAATAAATTGGCATCAGAACCAAAATAATTCCTATTAATCATTTGAAAATTGTGCATACAGCAATGAATTTAGCAACTGTGTTTTAGAAACTTTTTACTTTGTTTTTCTGTGATTTATACATGAATTTTACTTAGTATTTATGTTAAAGAATTGAGCAGCTTATACTGTAAGACCTTGTTAAGTCACACTTTAAGGGATAAAAAAAAGTCCTGATGTAGAGTTTTGAGCTAACAAATTTAATATCCAATTTTCTCAAATTTTTATTTGGCTGTAAATTTCTTGTTATGAAGCTGTTTCTCAAGAATCTGTTCACAGAATGATCACAAAATCATTTATGACTCTTTTCAGTATTGTTGAGACACCTCTTGTGTCCCATTCAGAATGCCAGTAACATACTGTATCAGTAAAAGGATCCATGCAAGGTTGTAATGTCATGGTGTTGTGTTTGACATGGAGCCATAGTGTTTATCTTACTTGTTAGTCATCTGTATTCATGCAGATTATAAAATAAAATGAAGATCAAGTACCTATCGAAGGGTGGAGGAAACTTGGGAGAATAAGAGGTTTGAGTTAAAAGTATTGACAATTTTAACTTAACGAGACTGTATTATATGGAAAAAACTGTATACTGTGTCTGATACCTGTATTCAACTTCAAGTTAATGCAATTTGACTTATGAGTTTTATTGGATATATTATTATATACAGTACTGTACATCTTTGTTTTACCATTGCTTTAATGTACAATCAAATATCTATGACAATATTAAAATTAATAAATTATAAAAATTTTTCTTTAAAAAAACCTTTAAGAAATACAAGCGAAATTCACTTTTTAAATCTGATTTGAATAGATCCACTGATGAGGCTGATAAGCAAAATATATATGGATAAAAAAAAGAAAAATAAAGTAAGAAATAGTGAAAGTGAATTTCTGGTCTTTCTCTGTTTTTAAACTCTATCGAAATCGGATTTAAAAAGTGAATTTCACTTGTATTTCTTAAAGGTTTTTTTAAAGAAAAATTTTTTAGAATTTATTAATTTTAATATTTCAATAACCGATCCCATTGTTTTATTATTTATTTATTTATCTATGACAAGCTTAAATTTTTGCCAAACTAGGTTATATGGATATGGATAGTGTATAAATCAATTAGCATTACAAATGAAAGTATTTTTATTATGTTTTAACATTTGTTTTATTTGGAGTTTTGCATATAAGTAAAAAAATGAAATGAAATAAAATTTAAAAAAGAATCTCTTTTTAAAGGTAGAAATAACTCACTTGTTTGATGTGCATTTCAACTTTGAGTTCATGAATAAGTTTTTGAAAAGAACTGTGTATTATTGAGTTCATATTATGATATTTTCTTGATATGATTGGGTCTTTTGAACATAATGATATCGTAAATTGGAGATATAATACACATACTTTAATATAGTATAACTAAATTGTTAATTTCTTTGTCAAATTTTTGACTAAAGATCTTCTCTCTTTTGCTAATCAGAAACTTCATCAGTATAATAAATAAGTCCTATTAATAAACAAGATCCAAATAGACAATATATACACAGAAATGTAAAACAATAAGGACAAAGAGGCAAAAAGAATTAAATTGTTAATATTTACATTAACTTGTGAATTAATATTGCCAGTACAAGTACGAATAAATTGTTTTAATTTCCTATAATTTCAAATTATTCAAAATATCATGTTGTCATTTTGTTAAAATGTAATGATTTTAAGAAAATGATAAGATATATATATATATAGGAATGTGGCAACATTGGGTGGCATTTCCTTTACTTAATGCTCATATATCGCCTCACTTAAATTTAAAAGAAAAAACAGCGTAAAAATTAATGTCACACAGAGTTGATCCATTGGATGAAACAGAAAAACAGGCAAATCATACTCAAAATTATGCTACAGGAACAGTTAAGAGGCAACGAGAGATAAAATTGAATACTTGTTCTTGATGGCCTTGTTTTTCATTGAGCACTACTATGTGTATCAATAGTTTGCATTTGACTTGTGTATAACATGCAAATCCATATTGGTGTGTACTGTGTAGCAGCTCCTTACACAATGTATTCTTACTGGTTGTGGACTACTACATCTTATGGTAGCCTACCTATCTACAGATTATGTATACTTAATATCTATACTAAGTATACACAACTCATCAGCCTTGAGAGTGATTCCTGCACAGAAGTTTCTGGCTACATCCTTGTGTACAGTCACTTCTTGACTTATGATGGGGTTCAGTTCCACAACTTCGGATGTAAGTCAAAATGGTCGTAAGTCAAATTTTATACAAAAATAAAAAATATAATTATAATAGACATGTATATCAAAATTAATAGCTTTTATTTCTGATTTTTAATTGTTAATTACATATAAGTAAATAATTACATACATATACATATATATATATATAAGCATTATTCTGGATTGTCATCATCATCTGTGCTACTGATATTCATTGCTGGCTCTTGAGATTTATCAGCGAGTGTAGAAGTAGTGCTTTTTGTTTTTATAAAGAAGTCCAATTTTGTTTGGACAGTTTACTATTTATTTTTGTTATAAATTTCATTATAACAGGCAAGCGCTTGGTAAATGTTGTGTTGTACCATTGAAAATCTAATGTCTGAGTCTATATTTTCAAATTTTTTAATTATTTCATTGATTTTGCTAAAAGTTGATGCCATTTCTTTCAGCACAAATTTTTTGGGTGGTTCTTTGTGTTCATCCAGTTCTTTTTAGCTCCATTACATTTTTATCTGCAACTCGTTGTTTCTCAATCTCAATCAGATCTTGGTTTGTGAGTTCCTCCATATTATTTTCCAAAAGTTGGTTTACATCTTCATTATCAACTTCCAGATTTAATTGTTGAGCAAATTGTACAATAACATTAACTACCTCTTCTATTTCCTCTTCTCTAATAAAGTTCATATTGTTATTAAACCTTTTTAAGAGTTTGTTCCATATGCTGTTCATACATTTCGTTGTTACATTGGACCATCCTTTTGATATATTCTTTATTGCATGAAAAATGTTATAATTTTTCCAAAATTCTCTCAATGTCTGATCTTTCTCAGTTCCCACAATTGCTTTAGCAGAAGTGATTCTTAGATAATGCACTTTGAAGTTAGCAATACACTCTTGATCCATCGGCTGTAGTATGCTTTTGTGGTAGTAGGTGGTAAATAAACCACTTTTATATTTGGATGGGACTGTCCTAAGTGTGGAGGGTGTGGAGCCTTCTCAAGAAGCAATACAATTTTAAAAGCAATGTCTTTCATCACAATATTTCTTTACTTCTGCAACGAAGCAGTCTTCAGAAAGGCATTATGTCATCCATGTCTTCTTATTGGCATGATAATGTACTGGTAATGTGTCCTTACTGATTCCCTTGAAGGCTCTTGGGTTTTGGGAATGATATATCATAAATGGCTTCAATTTATAACCAGCATTTCCACTCAACAAAAGGATAGCATGATCTTTAAATACATTTAGCTTCTTTTTGAATGTATGTCCGTTCAGGAATTTTTTCCAATATAATGCAGTTTCATCCACATTAAAAATTTGTTCCTGCATATAATTTCCTTCTTCAAGCATTGCTTCAAAATTGTCCTTGAAGATTTTGGCAGCTTTCGAATCTGCATTTGCTGTCTGTACACAAATCTTCACATTATGGAAGTTTTCACATTTTTTTTAAACCTTTCAAACCAGCTGGAGCTTGCATTGAAATTTTGGTCATAGTTGTCACCCTCCTTCTTCTTTAAATCTTTGAAAAGACTGCACTTTAGTTTGGATGGTTATGAGACTTAGTGGAACATTATTTTGTAATAAATCTTCCATCCAAGTCTTTAAACATTTTTCCAATTTCATGCATGGGACCATTTTGTTTTTTTTTGTGATGATGGCTGATTTTACTGATGTCAATTTTTACTGCTTCACGAATTTGTTGTTTGTCCTTTATTATAGTTGAAATAGTTGAATGCAACAATTTATGTTCACGTGACAAGTTTGACACTGTTTTGCCGCACTCATGCTGTTTTATTAATTTTATTTTCATCTCTAAGTCTATTGTCTTTCTCTTTCTTTCATTGGTCTTACCAGCCATTTTGGGGCTAAAATATCACAAATCAATGTAAAATAAAGTAGAATTTCCAATTTACACTGTAAGTAAACTACTTAAAACAATTAGCCCTCTTACACAAGCACACGCGAAGGATAACTAACTGCACAACAAAACTAAAGATGATGCAATCGATTGCAGAAACGTGCAATCAATCACCAGAAGCATACAAGATATATATATGTATGATATATTTGATGAAAACTATAAAAATTGATATATTTTAAAAAAATTTTTATGAAATTTTTTTGTTGTAAGTGCAAATGGTCATAACTTGAGAAGTTACTGTATCTGTTTATGTAATAAAAATAAATTTATTGCTTATGTTAAATGAATTTCTTTATATAAAATTTATTAATGTTCTGTTTTATTACATTAACAGTTTGGTAACTTTTTGATAAATATTTTATTTGAATATATTTATTTATTTAATGAGTTAATGTAGTTTTGATAGCAAATAATATTTATTTTGTAGGATTTGCAGCACCAATTCACCTCATTAAAAATTGAAAATGGTTACCTCAGAGAACAGAATGCAAATTTACATCATGATATTAATGGTTTATTACATATTATTCAACAAGCCAGATCTACAGGGAATTGGGAGGTAAAATTGCAATTTGCATATAATATAAACTTCAGTTTTATATATGTTTTGCAATATGTAGTTATCAACTAGTAACTGTTTAATTTAGATTAAATGTATATATTAAAATTTTCATGCAAGTTAACTGTTAAAACTCATCGTAGACTGCATTTCTTACTAATTAAACACACTCAAGAAAACCTTTTAAATATGCAGCCATATTTATTACATTCTAACTGTTAAGTATAGGTTTAAGAATCAGTGTATAGTTTACCATAAAGTTTTAAACAGGATGCTGTTGAGAACAAAATAAATTAAAATGCACTAAACTGTAAACATTTTTATATTTATTAAAATTCTTTAATTGATTGTTGCTTGAAAAAAAACTTTTAATTTTTTTATTTTTTTCTTTGATGCAAAAATAAAAAATAAGAAACGTTGCATGATGTTAAAAGATACATCAAACAAGAAAAGCCTTTCTATTTTATCTTTTAAAATTTAGCTTCTTAATTTTTTAATTAAAAATTTTTACATTCTACAAACTTTCTGTCTTAATTATCTGTTTTGTACATAGTCAATCAACATAATTAAAGATAATGTTTTGTTTAATTAACTTATACTGATTATTAAATATAGTTAAAAATATTTAATTGTAACAATAACAAATATAATCCACATGGTAACGTGAAAGAAATTTCGTGCAGTCTATATTGTAGATGCATTAGTGATGTTATTCCACGTACCTGCTAGTGTTATAATGAATGAAGTTCAGTACTTTGCACTTTGGAGGGAATACAAGAAATAGACAATATTGGTGGAGAACATAACAAATTTCTGTGTGCCATTTTGAATTGTTAAGCATAGTATGCACATTATCAGGAACCCTGATCATTATATAAATCAGTCAATTATACATGAGTAACATTTAATGTTTTGTGGATGTAATTGTCATACAGAATTAAATACTTTTTTATTAAAAAAACTAACTTACTCGTCATGCATTACTGTGATCTCAGAAGAAAGGAAATTCAAGTAAACTTGTTATGTTAAAATTCAATTTACATTTTATCATTTTTATTGAAATTTATTATTATTATTCATTTTCATCGGGAAAACATTTCAAAGTGTCGTTTCAATTCTATTTATTTATTGGAGTGCTTGTGGATACACGATATTTTTTGTTTTTCTGTCTGGTACGTACACAAATAAATCAAAAGGTTTTCAGATGCATGAGCTGGCCACATACAGTTGTCCATGCGAGAAGCACAGATTCTCCAAATTTAGCACACACACTCGCAGCAATTGTCAGAAGCGCGATATTCCCCATTTTTATATATTTTTTAAAATCCTTTATAATTTTAATTATTTAATTGCTCCTTCCTCTCTTCCTTGGCGTGTTGTGAAATTTCTGATAGTTGGATAATAAACCGTTTTATTGTAATTTGTCTCTTTAAATTATTTTGAGTCTATTATTAAAATTTGGAAAAGGGGATCCCTAGATCGGTAAAATAGGCGAATTTCCTCCTACAACTTCGGTTGTTGTTTGGGATACAGTTAATTTAAGTTGCATTTTTAAATATTTTGGCAAATGGTGTATTTTAAACTTATTTCATTAAACTTAAAATTTAAACTTTAAACAAAGATAGCCACATTGTGTTGCTTCTACAACAATTAAAAAAATTTTATAGTGGTCCCATGATGTTCTATGTAGGGGTGGCTGACTGTCGTACAAGATGACTCAGCAGACTAGTATACTAGCAGTGAGGCAGTATGCCACTCAACAGTAAAAGCAGAACTGAAGCACTTACTATCGATCTTCCACATTGACACAGTGGTTGTTTTGTTCTTGAACAGAACTGGGATTTGTTGCTAAAGACAATATATTGCCAGTCCATGTTTCTGTCACAGTACCATTGCAAATGAAACCAAAAACATTGGAGTGGTAATGGCAATATTTTAATGGTTGCCATGCATGCAAATTTGTTTCTGCTATTGCCTGTTAATGGTATTGGAAGAGACAGGATTCTGTAGTGAGGTTTCCACTTGTCTCTGGATGGGATCAAAGACAATGTTGCAGTTGCTTGTACTTGTGTCATGAACTCTCTTGATGGTATGGGTGCATGCACACATGTGCACACTTTCATATACAGTGGAACCTCTATATTCATAATATTTGATATTCCTCACATTTTGATGACTTTTTTATTTTTCCATATTCATCAGTATTTTCTGTATTCGTTGTCATTCCAGATACCAGAAGTGTCACTACAATCACACACCCGTGCCCATCAGCTAGCCGTGTTAGCTAGCTGTAGTTAATCAGTCTACTTTATGTGGTCATCGTGTGTGTTGTTGAGTTATTGAAAAATAATAAATGCGAGAAATCAAGTTCCAATCGCTCCAAAGTGGCACCCAAATGTTGCTGTAGTCAACTAAAATATAAATACATTCAATGATAATGTAATTGTCTACTTCAGAAAAGTTTTAAAAAGCAGACAAAAACACACAACACTGGACAAGTTCTTTATTAAATCGAGTGCTACTGAATCATTGGCAAAACAGACCCCACGATCACAATTGGAATTACCTAATGTTTTAATTGATATGTCTTCTCTAAATAATAATACCATATTAATAATACTGTTCTTCCCCTTCTACCACTATACTGTATTTATTTTGTACAGTAAAGATAAAGTTTTACAAACAACATAATTTTTATTCTTGTATCCTTTTTTCAGGATGCGAATGGATTAATTGAATATCAGTTATTTATTATGAGAAAAATTGTTTCTATATTTGTCATATTCCATATTCGTTAGGTCCTTAGGAACAGATTAATGATGAATATAGAGGTTCTACTGTATTTATTATTGGCAACAACACCTCAGAGTCAGTCGGAATGATAGATGGTGGGTAATGTGGCAAAACAGCTATTCCTGCTTCCTTCAGCTTGATGATGTAGTTTTCCAAATTTCATCAGCTGTGCACAATATCTTTACATCATAAAGATTTGTCTGAAGTTTGAAGACTTCTAAATAAAGAGATACATTGAAAATTGTGAACAAGCTTTTTTATGGGATATTGGAGTAGCAATTTTAAGACATTGTGTTGACATTATCTGGCATACAGTAGGACTACAACTATAATAACTTAATATCTCTCTAAGACATAACTGTGTGCCAAGATTTCAGTTATTGGACAATTGTCTCTGGATGTTAACTTTATCATTGAGTGTTAATGAGTTATGATACAAGTAGATTTTTCAATAAAGATTTCTGTTTTTAAGCATCAAGTTTAAAGAAATTGTAAATATGTAAATTTTGACTTATTTTGAACTTAAAATTGTTTTAAATTATGTCTATTTGCTATTGCAGTTGGATAGCATGACTTTTTGTGAAGTTACTCCAGAACAAGTATTTGGTCCTATTTATTCAGTATCTGAAAGGTAAGTATTTTTATTGTTGTTATCTGAAATTTAAAATAAAATTAAAATTGATTGATATATAAGATTACTTCAATTTTAAGGCAAACAATGAGTGAAACTGAAATTAAAAATTTTTTTTATGGAATGAAAAATTTTAAATAATTGATTTTATTAAGTATATACAATAATGCATATATTTCTGCATATACAATAATTTATCTTTTAATGAATCATCATAATGTTATCTCAAAAGCAATTTAAACATTAAAAAACATCTAATTTAAATACTCCTTACCAGCAAAGGTCATTTGAATCAATTTAACCAGTGGGTAGAGTAACCAGAAATATCTATTATTGAAGCATAGTATATTATCACAATGACTTCTGATTATTGTTTTAGCGTGCAAATGTAAAGCTCAGTTTACACTCACACAAACCATTCTTCTCTAACTGCGCTTTGTAAAAACAACTAAACCTCGAACACAATCTTTTAATATGAAGCCGTTTTATTATCTATTCAAATGCTTTTGGTCATTTTTAATGACCTTCTAATTCTTAAAAACAAAAATCGAATGCTTCCGATTTGTATATAACAAAATTTGTATTAGAACATTTTTAAATTTAAAAACATTCCAAAACAAATTTTGTTGTATACAAATTAGAAGCATTCGATTTTTGTTTTTAAGAATTAGAAGGTCATTAAAAATGACCAAAAGCATTTGAATAGATAATAAAATGGCTTCATATTAAAAGGTTGTGTTCGAGGTTTAGTTATACAAACCACTATGAACAAGCAAAAAGAACATTAACTGTAACAAAACATTGTCTGCAATGGACTATAAGTTAGGATATGATTGGTTAAAAAGGTTTTTAACACTAGTTATGAAAAATTGGTTAGTCCAAAAAAAAACAAAACAAAGTTTGGCAAAAATTGAGATATTCTCAATTCCTAACAAACTGGTTCAACACTTGCTGAAAGGGGACAAACTGGCAGTTTGTATCCACTTTGTAGCAGTTTGTACACCAATGTGAACCTAGGTTAAGATGTCATTGATTCTAAGATGCATCTCAATTTTGGATAAAAAAAATGCATAAAAATATTGAATTTTGGAATTGAGACTACTGTAATGGAAAATAACACAGTAAAAAACACAGTATTTTTAAGAAAATAATTAATTTTATTATATGTTTTAATTTCAGAACTTCTCTGGAATCATTAAATTTAAATCAAAGCATTGCAGATGATAACAGAAATTGTATTCCTTCTGAGGTAATAATTATATTACTATTTATAAATATTAAGTTACTGTAATGAATTTATTTCTATGATTTCTCATTTCAATGTAAAAGTTTCAAAAAATACCTAGTCTTGCATTAAGAATTCCAGTTTTAATAGTAAAAAAAAGAAACTAAAATGCCTTCTCATTTCATCATGCTCAATCACCAGGAACAAACATTATAGACTTGACATTTTATTAGAGATTGTGCCTCTGTAAAGATATGCAAAAGATATTTAAAAAGACATTTTAATTTCTTCAACAAATTTTTTTACTGCGTAAATATCATCAGCCATTTTTAAGTTAAACTTATCAAATTTTAATGATCTATGTTTGAATTCTAAATTTAAAGGTACTTAAAAAGGATTATTACAGGAAAACAAATCACAGTTTAAATTCTGAACAACATTCTATTTCTTAACAAAAATATCTTTTATTATTCATTATATCAACAATACTAAAATGATATTTAACAACTCTCAAATTTCAATTACATCTCTTGTAATTTCTGTTTCCTTGTTAGTGTTTACTTTGTGTTTTCTATGTGCTCTTCTCAATTTTCTAAAGTATAGCTCTATTGAATATATATTATTTGTTGAAATATATAAAGTTTTCTTGAATCAAAAACAATGATATTCTATGAAATCTTATATCTCTACCACAGTCAACTAAATTTTTTCATTCAATCAACATTTATATTTTAAATTTTATTTTTATTTTTCTTATCTAGGTTCAAATGGATAATTCTCCCTATCATACTGCTGATAGTCCAGTAATTACACATAAGAGAAGTTTTCAAAACAACTATCAACAGTCGGAAGAAACAGAGCAAAACAAGATAGAAAGGTCTCCAATTCAGAAAAGCATCCAGACAGATTTGCATTTTAATCCAAGAGCAAATACAGACAAATGGAAAATGAAGGAATCATTTAGCTCTTTGAAAGAATCGTTAGATGATATTAGAAAAATAAAAAGAACAAAGAGCGAATCGTTCCTGGCCTGTCTGAGAATGAAGCCGAGAGAGCGTCACTGGTCTAATTATGCAACTATTTTTACAAGAAGTCTTCCTATCGATGTTGATTGTAAAAATTTGTCCTTGGTCATTTGTGATAAGTCTTGTTTTGTGTCCAATGAAAAAAATATAATTGTGCAAAACAATAACAATTTTACAGAAAGAAATAGAAGAAAGGAAAATGTAAGTATATATCCTAACCTGTGATTATATGCAGATTTTTTTTTACATAATAAAATACATAAAACAGCAATTTTTGGTTGATTTTTCACACACAATTAATACAGGAATCTGAATTTTTGGATTAATTCTTTCAAAAAACAAATTAATTTGTTTAAAAATATTGTACATTAAATAAGCTTTTTTATGTAGAAATTGTATTGAAAATCATTTATTTGTAATTTCATTTTTATTATTATTTAGGAAAACTGTTCTATCGTCAGTCATAATTGTGAAAAAGTGAAGAATGTGCCGGTTTGTCATAATCGCTTATGTGAGATCAATAGCAGTTTGTGTGATGAGAAATTATTAGATGAAGTATTGTTAGGAATCAAAAAGAACACTGTTATGATACAAACAGAGGACCATTGTGGAATTCATCAATCTGTACAGACTCCATGGGAAAATTCTCGATGCTCTTCCACTATTTCCACTCAAACTGAAGCATGCGAGGTATAATAATTTTACTTATTGAACTAATTTATTTATTTAAAATCTAAACTTTTATACTCATGCTATAATAATAATAGAATAATGGATTATCACATTTTTTTTTAGTTAAAGTTATTGGAAGAAAAATTAGAAGATATGTATAAAAATGAAAAAATACTACAAAATCAGAAACGTCACTTAATGGTGCAAGTAGGTTTAAGAATTTTATGTAAAAATATGAATAAGTTTTAAAAAATTAATTATCATAACTATTTAAAATTTTAATTATTAGTTAGATGAACAAGGTGAAGAATTATTGAAAACTCGAGATGACTTGCAGAATACTAGGAAAAAATTGAAAATTTATGAAAAAGAAGTAACTTTTTTCATTCTTATTAACTAACTAGCAATTTATTTCTATTGTGGCAGTTTTAGAAAGTTATAGTAGAAACTTAATTTAATTAAATCATCATCACTGTTGGAATTTATAGGGTTGTCAGGTTTTTTCAGGAAAAAAAGGAAGATTTTCTACCACAGATCAAACATTTTATTACATTGTATAGAACATTGTTTGCATTAACTTACATGCTATTTACTTCTCCTAATATTTTTATTATGATTTAGCTGCTCTTAATAATTTTTCATCCTGTTTTGCAAATTGCTTAAAATTGAAAGGGAAATTGCATAAAATTTATAGTTCCTTTTTGATCAGCTCTGGATGGCTCCTGTTTCTAACATCTGTCCATTTGTTCTTCATTACTGAAAAAAGTCTTCTACAAAAGTATTAGGAGCCTGTAATACTTAGTTAAAACCCTATGACTTTATTTATGTTTCAAATACTTTAGTTAGAAACTTTAGAAAAAAAATACAGCCAGTTATCAAAATCACTGCCTTAATAATTAACACTAATAAAACACCTCTACACTCACAAAATTCCTCATACAACAGATCAAGGTTAACAAATTCTTGCAATTTTAATATACAGGGTGGGCAGAAAGGAAGGACGTTTTTGAAATGGCTAGAACTCACCACCAGGTGTAGTGACAGATATGTGGCAGGTAGCATTAGGTCTTTGCATTGTCTTTTCAGTTGAAGGTATGGAGCCATGGACAATAGAACACTGTGTGTTTGCATATGACTGAGGAAACAGTTGTATGCAAAGGGACTGGCTTGGTCGTACACTCATCCTTGCACTTGCATACGATGGAAATATATTCCTATCAGACATGTGTGATTTCAACAGGGTGGGGTGATGGCTCTCAGGGAAGAGATGACGTTATTTGTTGTCTCTTCCCTGGTTGCCTCATTTCCAGGTTCGGTGACATTCATCGGTTTCTTCTTTCACTCGACCTATCCATGTGCGATTATTTCTTGTGTATGAGCATAAGCCCATTCTTTGCAAGAACTGAAGGAAGCTATTTGCATGGATGTCACCAAAATTGCCCTGGAGGCAACCATCACTGATAACAGACACCACATGAGAGATGTTGTTTTCTACACTTGATGCTGTAAAATGCTATTTCAATACAAACTCGCATCTTCCAACAAGTATCTTTTGTAGTAACAATTACAGATTTTTTAAAAAATGTCCATCCTTTCTGCCCCTCCTGTATATCAGCAGCATTTTCAAAACTAGAATATTCTACATTGTAATTACAACTAGATTGTATTAAACCTCCACTATATTGTAATTACAATGTAAGTACAATATAATGGAGTTTTAAAATAAAATCTTTTGATATGTATGGATGCAAGAGGAAAAAAGGGAAGAAATCATCTTAAGAAAAATATAAGCCATGAAATGTATGAAAAAAATTTAAGACCTGGAAACCCTAAGAATCTGTGAATTACATCAGTAAAAATATTTGTTTTTTTAATTACAACATTTAATAGAAGAAACATTAAATTAAAACATAAAAATGTTTTCTTCTTTCATTTGCCTTCATGCCTTCAGGATCTGATGGTAGTTGATGAATACTTCGGCAGAGTCACCCTTGTTGTCGAGCCATGATTCACCAAAATATGCAAAAAGAAAAAAAACATTAACTTCCTTTAGTTGCATGTTTCTGGGGTCTATCAGTAGTTGAGTGAATAAAACCACCAAATGCTGGTAACTACCAGCATTTACTGTGATTTTATATGGTTGTGGGTTTGTACCTGATTAACATGTTTGCCTCCCCTTAGCAGATTGCACATGTATCACTTTGCCTAATTCCACCAATCCAAGTTCAAAAAAGTATCAGATCAATCATTATCATTTTCAGAATGTATGAACTATAATTAATTAGTTACACACAATCTTAAGTGTATAATAAAATAGTCAAAATAAAGTTTATCCACGTTGGAATCAGAGCTGTTTGGCAGTCATGATTCTTTGCTAAGCAACTGAATAAATGTTAATTACTCAAAACCAGCTGTGGATTATATCTGCCTGTGATATGGATAATTATAATCCATTAAGTAGCTTTAATGTCAGTTATCTCACATTAACTAATCAGTCAAATTAATCAAAATCTTTGCAATATTATGAAATTATTATTAAAGATTGCATAATAATAAATAAATAATAAGAAAACAAACAAAATTGAAGAGGAATTTTTTCATTTACATCCTACTTTCTCCTATTCAGTAGTTCACAAATATATAACTGATTCATGCATAATTAACTTTTTTATCCACTTAATGTTTTAAATAGATAAAGATATGAAAACAATTTAATTTCTGAACGTTTATTGATGATTTTTTTCTAAGAATCATCAATATATCTATAAAAACTTTTATGTTATTGCACTGTTTTTAATAATTTCATTAAATATTTTTTTAAATAATAATTTATCTTAGTATCATAAATAATATATTTTCACAATAACAGATTTAATCAAATTTTACTACTTTGACAGATAGAACAGCTGAACGTCACTATACAAACATTACAGTCTGCTATAGTCCAATCGAGAAGGTCTCTTGACGAAGCTAGAAAAATGAACGAGAATGCCAATCATTCAAATCAGAATTCTTTTGGGCGTAAGTCAATCGGTAGTTTAATAATGGACGTGTGATTATATATGTTGGAATTTAGATTCTAGTAGCAATACAGACCAAAGCAATACTTTAATATAAGTTTCTATATTGCCAGGAGAAAGGTAAATACAGAAAGTTGAGTTTTAAAGTACAAAAATTCTGTACAGTTTTAAAGTTACTTTGTGCAGTGTTGAACAGCTTGAAAGTAGAACAGTAATTATATAAATTAACTCATTATTCAAATTCCGAAACGTGTAACTGGCAATATGTGCATTCTAATATGTTTACTCAGTTCTTAATGCATAAAATTATTTTAGCACGCTGTAAGCGTGCACTAATGTTGTTGCCACAGAATAGGTAAAACTAATTTGCTCAGTTTTTGTAATTTTTTTATATCTATAAGAATTATTTATTATATTTAAGATCGAGTTTGTAATTGTGTTGCCACAAAACATAATTTATATTCCGTTAAACCATTGTAATCTGTTCCGTAATCATTGTTATAATCTCAGGGATTATCATATCAGCTTTTTAAAGGCATTCTCTTATGATTACAAGTTACAATTGCCGAGGAAAGAACGTAACGAGTCAAAACTATTTAATTTCAGATCGTGATTGATTTCATCTCGAGAAATGAATTAATATATAAATCTATGCATGTATATATATAAATATATAAAAATTGTAATTGGTTATATAATAATGTATATGGATAAGGGAAGTTTGTACATAAATGATGTATTACATAAATTTTATACACGTCAAACTGTACGAGGAATGCGGAATGTGTTTTGTATATTTGATATAGTTTGCTTTTTTTCTGTTAAAATGAATTACAAGCAGCCCGATCAGTCAAAATAATGTTTCTATAGCTGCATAAATGCAAATGTTGCAACTACAAACTCAATTTTTACAGAAGGAATATTACGGCAGTGTTGTTTCCAGAAAATTTTCAGTTTATTATGCAAAAATTTTATTAAATTGCCAAAATTTACTTCTTTTTTATAGTTTTTTTACTTTAAATTTATTTGTATATTACTTGCAACTCGAAATTTGAAATATATATTTGATGATTTTTAAGTGGCGTTAGGCCAAATTTTATTAAAGTTGTAATTTGGTTGAACTCGAGACATTTATATTGTTTTTTTGGCTCATTTTTAATGTTTTTTAAGTGCAAGTTGATGTTAGAAAGCTTACTAGGATAGTTTAATTGCAATGTAATTTTTTATACATATTTGCATATACAGTATTTAAATTTTAGTATTATATGCTTGTATCTATACGAGGCTTTAATTTTGAAAATTTTGTTATAGTAAAATATCATTTGTTTGGATTATTGTTTAAAATTAGAAAATTGTTATCTCAATGTTATATTTTTTTTTGTTTTTTTTTATTAGTTCTGCTCCAGCAGTTAAAAATGATTGGAAAGTATAATAGATTATGAATAAAATAAAAGTTTTTGCATCCACTTAAACTTTTCTAAGCAACAATACAATCAAATGCAACTATTACCTGGGACAAATGTAACAAAGGTATTAACTTTTTTTGTATACAGGTTTTAATTTAATTTATATCAAAACGGATGATTTGATAATTGTTTATATTGGAAAAAATACCCAAACCATCTGCTGTTTTTAACAGTAGTTTTTGAAAAGCTAATCGAAGCGAATCTAGACCACACCTCATACTTTAGCATTCCCATAGTTAAAGATCAAGTTGTAACCTTAGGCAATTTAAACTTTAGAACTATAGTTTTAGGAATTGTAAAAGTTCCGTTTATTGTAATACAGTCGAGAGCAAAAATAAAATTGGTAAATTCAGTTGTGCACAGTTTTCAATTTTGTTCTTTGTGTTTTGTAACGAAAGAGATCAAGAAATAATCAATATACAAAATAACTAATATTTTAGTAAAATAATAATACATTACTCTTGATAACAGTGCAGGAAGTACGAACTCGCTGCCTCCGAAAGTTAGCAGCTTCAAAAAGACATACGTTTTGCAAACCTCGGACACACACACCATCTTCATCCACACATTTAGAGATTTATTTTTAAGTAAACGTTTGACTGTTCGCTGTAGTCCCGGTTTTTAACCTCGATGTATTGGATTTTCTTCCAAAATGTCTAAAAGAACTGCGGTCACTGATGCCATTGTAAATACCTAAAAAGCCATTTCGGATTTCGGAACAAAAGCAGAAACCGTCATTTTGCAATGTTGCCGGGTTGAATTACTTTATGCCAAATTCAGGTTTTTATTTTAATTGACGAAAATAAAACTTATTAGCGTCTTGGCTATCTTTTCGGCTAATTTAGTTTTATTCGGTAACTTTTTGGCTACTTTTTAATAAATCATTGGTGGCAATGTGAAGTGCGGAAGTGTGGGCAGCTTTGAGGTTTTATATTCGGCTAAGAAAATGGGTAAACCTAAAAGTTCTGTCTGTCAACTTCTGCCGAAATGGGTGAGGGAAGCGAATTTAGCCGAGAGATTTGACAGTGGATGGCTCAAAAGTGTTCTGCCAAGTATGCGTAAATGCATTTATGTGCACGAAGAAATCCATTTTGAGGATCGTGCGCGTTCTGTAAGACACGTGCAAGCAACACGTCGACAGGATCGTACATCCCAGATACTGCTCACGAAAATGGAATGTCAGGATGAAGGAAATATTTTTCTTAGATACCTCAAGGATGAAATATAGCATTACATAAACTGAAGCATCCTTTGCTCGGGAAGTACTTAGAAAAATACACGAAGCAATAGAAACTTTTTTATTCCAAAGCTAAAAGACTCCTCTAAGTGAGGACACAGTCAATATATAAATATGTATTGGATAATTTTTACTTTCCCGGCTGTTATATATAACAGGGAAAATGTAGCCATCGATCGAAAAACGACCCCTCCCAAATTTTTACATTTATGGACTGGACACCTCCAGATGTCCAGATACGCAAAAGATTCGGTTTTTTTCCCTATATGCATGAATGTTAGACTGTGGGAAGGATACAATTTTGTTCACCCTGTTTCGAGCCTAATAACTTCTGCGGTTTTTAAATCGGATTCGGATGGTTTAACACATGAGTTATTAAGCTTCAAAGTGGTTGAACTAAATCGTGCCCCAATCACATTCTAACATCTTAGGCGAGAACATCTTAAGCAGTATCGGTGAAAGAAGTTTAGGGCAATGAGTTAATAAGAACGGATGAAATCGGGAGTGGCGGGGTGTCCAGTTTCGTGGTAGTTAAGTTCGTCCACGCGAATATTGCGTTTATAGAAAAATTATTAAAATTAGTTACGTGAGCGATCTGCCAAGGAGGATGCATCTCCAGAAGAAATGTAAAACTGTCCCCTGTTTAGATACGTAACCGGCACCGCTCTATTGCTAACAGGTAAAGTATGACGTACGGGAGCAAACACTACTACACGCAGGCAGGTGCCACGCGCTACCTGTTGCAGCAATGGCGTAATAGCGTGTCTATTTCTCACTAGATAATTGTGGCAATAATTAACTGAATACAATATATATATATATATATTAATTATATCCTTTTCTATAAGAAATATTTACTTTACGGCAAAAATTTAAAATACTAATAAAGCTAGAAAATGACAGAAATTAATTGACATGTAGAAATTCGTCAAGATTTTGGCGTGAGACACGATGTAAGTTAAAGGTATACAAACGTAACCTCAGAGTTTCATAGCAATTGGTCGAACGGCCTAGGCGCGCATAGCGAAAAGACAAACAAACATCCTCATTTACACATAGATGATTTAATCGTTTAACATACGAAAATAACTCGGAGCGATTCATTTAAGCCGGGTATCCACAAAAGCGGTTTGGCCGTACAAAGTTTTAACGGACTTAATCATTTCATTCCGCGCCATTCCGGCTTCGTTCGTACAACTAACTGGCGGGAAGAAAGGAGAATAAATCAAAGACGGATGACGACGACGACACCGCCATGTTACCTACGTATTCGTTCTTTGTAGAAAATGACGTCAAACCATCTTATTCGTTGGCGATTGGCTGCGTCCGATTTGTGCCACGAAATGTACGATACATCCAGCTCGGGCATTTGTGCCAAATGACGTAATTTTTCTATATCGAGCATCCGCGGTACAAACGCGAAATCCATCGCGTCAATATTCGGCTTTAGTTCATTCCAAACGTTCCATTTTAACATCTTTCATATACCATCAGCGAAGTAAACAATGCTTCCTATCAGTGACGTTTGACGATAGGGATGCCGACATCCGGGGACAATCGGTCAATAGCGCGTCAGCGTGGTCTAGGATCCATTCGTATCGTTTATTCGGTAAGCCGGTGAAACCCGTAGACTTCTCTAAATGCATTTTTAATATCGCAAGTACATTCCGAATCGCTAACCACGATATAAGACCAGGTGTCCACGGAAATTTCCAAAATTTACAACTTTTCGGTCATTCTCGTCGAACCGGAAAAATGTCCGTCTTTATTACATTAATAATACAAAAAAATCGGTCTCCACCGTACTCGGCTAGAGATGGTTCGGTTAAAATAAGTAAATTATTTCAAAAAATCTCTGCTTATATCAATAAAATTTCAATTCGAAGAATAGCAACGAACCTGAGACGAGAAAATTGTCGGCCTAATTTACAATAAAATACAATAAGATTATAAGAAAAGAAAACCAATTTTTGGAACTTCTAAACAGGCGGGTCCCTTTCATTTGCCAAAGAAATAAACTGGTAAATCCGCCGGCCATCGCGCTTTCGTCCGAATTGACAAATTATTTCGTGTTTCCGCGAAATTCTTAAAACAAAAAAGTTATTACGAATCTTAATATGAGTTTCTTTTGTTGTAAATAAACCAAATCGTCCGTAAAGAAAAGTAATCAAATTTTATTGACGTATTCGATATTCAAAGGGAAATTTTACGGCAACGAAATGTTTCTTGTACTCGAAATTGTTCATTCAAATTTTGTGTTAATTTTATTAAATTATCATCAAATTCCGGAAAGATTCTTGGTCCAGCATTCCAAACAAATAAACGATTTTGCGCCCCTCTTCTCCTTTCTCAGGCGCTTTAATAGTCCTTTACCGGAAACGTTCTTCTCGCATCGCCCGCATTTAACGATTTTCTTAAGAGTTGATCTTTTCTTTTTTCCGTTATTGATAGTCCTTTGGCATTTCTCTGCGTGATGACGTAATCGCGATAAAAGGATCACTTTTCCGCAGTAGTCACAGACGGCGTAATGGGTCGACGCGCTACTCTCGATTTTTTCTATTTTATCTCCTCGCCGTTTAATGCCGAATCCAGTTGCGGACACGCTTTCTGCAAATCTTGCATCGATAGGACCGTGGAAACGAGG